GACGGCAGCATGTGCAGGCGTCTCGAAAAGTGCCATCTGTGTGGACGAAGCGGCAAAAGCCAAGAAGATATCGGAGGAGGGGATCGAATCTCGATCTTGAGCGTGTTAAGCTCACGTCCTAACCACTAGACGACACCGACGCTCCACACTGAACACACCCATCGCATCACAAATTGGGCGCACACACCTGCGCCTCTCTCCTTTCCGACACCACTTTTCCTGGCATCCTATGCGCGGCCCCACGCCAGCCCCTCGCCGCATCGGGAGACCCCAAACATCACAGCGTGGCAACCGCCGACCCACCGCAGCTACGGATCGGGTGTACTTCTAGTTACGCCATGTCGAGGCGCGATAGTTACTCAAACCAGAGTCCATTTGGCTACTGGCGCATGCTTGCGTCTCAGGTGCGGTCCATACACAAACAAGGGCGCATACGGCGTCCCTTCAGTAGTAAAATATCGACGAATGCATAGGACCGAGCTGTGGTCATAGAAAGCGTTATCTTGAAATCGGTTGGGGGTGGACAGACGCAGCAGCAGCACTTCACGTACATGAAGATCAAGGGAGGCACCAACAGCGACGTGAAAGGCAGTGATGTCGAAAAGGTGATGATACAAAAACGCAAGGCAATATGGATCCGACAGCTGTGAGATTTGAACTCACGCGGGTTACCCCAATAAATTTCTAGTCTATCGCCTTAACCACTCGGCCAAGCTGTCGTTAGAAATACAATCCATTTCAGTCAATCAACACATCCACCATAAACAAGCGACTACACAACATATACCGCGACGGACCAGGCAGCATCCTTTGCTACTTGTCTTCCCTCCCTCTCACCCGTCTCATCATCGGCATACCCCTCACCAACTTTAACCAATGCTCTGCACCCGACCTAGCACTGCCGCTGCTCTTTTTATTTATTATCAGTGCCAACGAGTTTGCGAACAACTAGCTTCGTCGACAGCACCGCGCTACCGTTCGACCACGACGCGATAGCAGGAGGAGGAATGGCGGCAGCATGTGCAGGCGTCTCGAAAAGTGGCTCTGTGTGGACGAAGCGGCAAAAGCCAAGAAGATAGCACGGGTGCAAGTTGCCTGTGGTGGATTAGGCCATGGCGGAGCAGCACCCCGTATGGAATGACGATGGATCTGATATGAGCGATGTACGAGAAGGCAAGATCCACCAAGACTTACCTCGGATCCACCCTTACCTGGATTCACTAAGATGGATATGGGATATACTATACAAGAGTGGATCGAGTGTGGATCCTATGAAGGAAGGATGGTCGGTGCTCTCTGACGGTGGATCTAGTAGCCACAGCTAATGAAGAGTCAAGATCCACCGCGAGGTACCCCGGATCCCATACTTCCGAGTTCGTATCCAAGGAGGGAGGATCCCGCCTGGAGGGACCTGGATCCAGGGTATAGGGATGAGGGATACAGTGGATCTCGAACTTTCGTTGGGACAACGGAGATCACAGATGGTTGCGAGATGATGTTGGATGATTGGAAGAGCTCGGATCCCACGGCGAGTGTACCATTACAGTGAGGTGGATCCCAAGCGACCTGGATCCCGGATGAGTGTACCCATAAATAGGGTGACCATGATGATTACGTCATATATCCGGTGTGTATCTGAAGATAACACAGCTGGGATGATGGGTCAAGGGAAGAAGGGACATGCAGCCGAGCCTGGTAAGGGATTTAGCAGATGAAAGACATAGAAGGTAGAAACCCAGGCAGGTATAGGCTTAAATATCAATACAGACTCCAATTTGCACAGTGACACGCAAGTGCCTTCCTGCCCTCAAGAACCGGAACTACATTTGGCCGTACGAGCTCCGAGAAGGTTGGGAATTGCGAATCTAGTGTTGGTAGTGATAACTGGATAATACATTGGCCAGATCCTACAACCTAGTGAGCTTTTCCTTTACTTGTGCAGATTCGACAGGTTAACCGAATTTACTACCTGGTCGGTTACACCCTAGGGGCTCTCAACTCTCAAGATCCCGTCACAGGAGGCGGCAAGTACGACTTAAAGGACAACACAAAGGCAAGGGAACACACCCGCAAGGCAACCCCACGGCCAGATCCACGATCTAGGCCCCGGATCCATAAGCTCGAATATTCGCTTAGGATACGGAACCATCCACGGACGCAGAGTGAAGATTTTCCACTGCTGCTCCACCCCATCCCCACGTCTCGCCAAGACACTCAAGATACACCACTTGAACTCTTCGGAAGTTACCGAAGAGAGCAGATCCCGCCCTACAGACGGGTACACAAGGTGAGGAAAGTTCAGCAGAACACGGATCATCGGGGGACCCCCTCCGTTAGTCGGTGTCTGGGCGCAGTTGGTAAGTTGGATCTGGCAATCTCGCAGATTTTGCTGATCCCGCTACACCACATTCCCTTGCCTTTGTGTTGTCCTTTAAGTCGTACTTGCCGCCTCCTGTGACGGGATCTTGAGAGTTGAGAATCTCTAGGGTGTAACCGACCAAGTAGTAAATTCGGTTAACCTATCGGATCTGCACGAGTAAAGGAAAAGCTCACTAGGTTGTAGGATCTGGCCAATGTATTATCCAGTTATCACTACCAACACTAGATTCGCAATTCCCAACCTTCTCGGAGCTCGTACGGCCAATGTAGTTCCGGTTCTTGAGGGCAGGAAGGCACTTGCGTGATACTGTGCAAATTGAGGTCTGTATTGAT